TGTGTGTCTGTGTGTGTGTCTGTGTGTGTCGGTGTGTGCGTGTGTGTGTGTGTGTGTGTGTGTGTGTGTGTAGGGAGGTGTCTTTCTCTCTCTGAACGTCAATCTCTTCTTATCACTCCCTCCTCTACCCGCGTCTCTGCCTTGCTCGGGTCTTTTTCCCCTCCCTCAATGTGCCAGCTCTTCCCAGTCCGGGGTCGAAAGAAAACAGTTCTGTTGCCAGGGGCAACCACAGCCCGCCCCGGGCTGCTGCGCGCAATGCATCCCGGGACTTGTAGTCTGCGTTTGTGGACAAGCCGTTCTCGGGGCGAGACCGAGAACTTCCCCTCCCGGCGTGCCTCGCGGCTTGGGCGGGGCGCTGTGGAGGTGCTTGGGGACTCCGGACGCCCACCTCGCCTTTTCTGGGACATTTTGGGGTCGGGATTCCGGTATCCGCGAAGCCGAAGGGAAAGTGGGGGAATCCAAGGCCTACCCTGCCCCCACAAAGGAGGCGTCTTCCGCCCGGTATTCTTCCAGCCACCTCCAGACATCCGACATCACCCAAGGACAAAAGATAGGGCGCGGGGGTGACACCGAAAATTGACCTAGGATCCCCACTGCGTTCTTTTCAGCTCTCCTTGTCACCAGCATCTCGCCCCCAGGTTCTATACCCATTCTCTCTGGTGTCTTCCAGAGAAAGGTCAGGCACGGGGTGGGGGATGGGGGGACGAGGCGCCCTTCGAAAAGGCGGGGATTGGTGTAGGTCTGAGCTATGAGGTGGACACTGCAGAGACTAATAGGAGGCTTTTCTTCACCAAAAAGGAGTGTGTGTGTGTTCAGGTGACCCTTACCTCACTTGCAATGTTGTTATTAGGCGCTATTGAGTCAATTTTGTACCGACAGTGATCCCTTGTGACACAGCAGAACTGCCCCATTGGGTTTTCTAGGCTATAATTAAAAATATATATATTATTGAGTTTGGTCAAAGTTTCCCATTTAACAATTTCTACACATATCGTTCAGCGACATTGGTTACATTTTCCACGTTGTGACAACATGGTCATTTCTGTTCTTGTTCCATTTCCATTATTCTTGCTTCCCTGCCCCCACCCCACCCCCTTCTCATTTTTTCTTTAGGGCAAATGTTGACCTGTGTTTGGTCTCAAATAGACTTTAAAAAAATATATATATAAAAGGAGCGCAGTACTCACAGGTGATATTGTTTATTTTATGGGCCAATCTGTTATTTAGTTGATTAGTTTTAGTTCAAAGTTTAAAGAGTATCTCAGGGTGATAGTCTCGGGGGTTCCCAAGGTCTCTACTGGTCCAGTAAGTCTGACCTTTTTTAAAGATTTTGAGTTGGGTTCTACAATTTTCTCGCATTCTGTCTGAGACCCATCTATTGTGACCCCGGTTAGAAACCCGGTTAGAAAGGTTGGTAGTGGTAGCTAGGCACCATCTACTTCTTCTAATCTCTGTCTAGGCTGTAATCTTTATGGGAGCAGATCGCCAGGTCTTTCTCCTGCAGAGCTATAGTGTGGGTTTGAACCTCCAACCTTTCCGTTAGCAGCTGAGTGCTTAACTACTGTGCCACCAGGGCTCCTTGCAATACCTCTGCCCAACTGGCTTTTGCGGGTGTAGGTGTGGCAAATGGGTTGCATGATCCTGGATTTATGGATCTACTTTTGATTCTCCTCAGCTTGGGAAAAATGATGTACTGCAGGGGTTGTTGGAGGTAATTCATTTGATCTTTCTTTATAAAGGTCTTCTGTTGAGCAGGTGTATCAGGGAGCCTAGAGCTGGAGGCAGGTGGAATTAATAGTGGAAATGTAGGCAGTGTCAGATCTTGTTAGTTGCCCTTGGGTTGATTCTGACTCATGCCAACCCTATGTGTGCAGACTAGAAGTGCTCCGTAGGGTTTTCAAGGCCATGGCTTTCCGAAGCAATCGCCAGGCCTGTCTTGTAAGATACCCCTGGATGGGTTTGAACCATCAACCTTTTGGTTAGCACTTAACTCTTTGCACCACACGGGGACTCCCAGGCCAGATCCTGAAGGTCTTGAGTGCAGGACAGAAGGGGCTTTGATGTTATCTGTAGGCAGTGTGGAATGGGATATGGAAGGTGTCATGGATTGAATTATGTCCCCCCAAAAATGTGTGTATCAATTTGGCTGGGCCACGATTCCCAGTATTGTGTGATTGTCCTCCATTTTGTGATTGTAGTTTTATGTTAAAGAGGATTAGGGTGGGATTGTAACACCCTTACTAAGGTTACATCCCTGATCCAATCTAAAGGGAGTTTCCCTGGGGCGTGGCCTGCACCATCTTTTATCTTACAAGAGATAAAAGGAAAGGAGGCAAGCAGAGAATGGGGACCTCACACCACCAAGAAAGCAGTGCTGGGAGCAGAGCAGGTCCTTTGGACCCGGGGTCCCTGCGCGGAGAAGCTCCTGGTCCTGGGGAATATTGATGAGAAGTCTGATAGAGAAAGCCTTCCCTTGGAGCTGACGCCCTGAATTTGGACTTCAGCCTGCTTTACTGTGAATAAATAAATTTCTCTTTGTTAAAGCCATCCACTTGTGGTATTTCTGTTATAGCAGCACTAGATGATGAAGACAGAAGGGTTTGAGCAGAGGGGCGGGATCGAATCTGGATGCTGGAAGAACCCCTCTGGGACCAGCATGGGCTGGAGGTAGAATGATCAAGGAGGAGGCTGGGATAATAGCTCAGGTGAAAGAAAATGAAACCTGTGCTGGGTCAGGAGCCAGGAGAGAAGGGGGCAGATATGAATGGTGTTTAGGAGGAAGAATGGACAGTGTTTGATGAGCAGCAGATATAGTCAAGTTCCTGGGTTCTCAGCCCTGAGAGGCTATTACTGAGAGGGGAAACTCGAGAAGAAGGGTCAGTTTTGGAGGAAAGATGCTGGACCCACATTGGGACACTATTTTTTTTTTTTTTTTAATTGTGATTTAGGTGAAAATTTACAGAGCAAGTTAGTTTCTCATTCAAAAATTTACAAATTGTTTCATGGCACTGGCTGCAATCCTGCACTGTGTCGGCATTCTCCCCCTTTTCACCCCACGTTTCATCGTGTCCATTCCTCCTGTTTTCCTGACCTCTCCCACCTTCTGGTCTTTGTTCCTGGGCAGGTGTTGCCCATTTGATCTAGTATACTTGACTAAGCTAAGCAGCACATTCCTCACATGTGATGTTGTCTTATAGGTCTGCCTAATCTTTGGGCTGAAAGGTGACCTTTGGGAGTGGCTTCAAGTCCCGAGTGAGAAGGTGTCGGGGGGCCATAGTCTTGGTGGTTCCTCCAGTATCTGTCAGACCAGTAAGTCTGGTGGGACACTATTTCTGAGGTGGAGTCCCTGGGTGGTGCAAACTGTTAACCTACTCGGCTGCTCACCAAAGGCCGGAGGTTCAAGTCCACCCAGAGGTGCCTTGGAAGAAAGGCCTGGTGATTTACTTCTGAAAAAATCAGCCATTGAAAACCTTATGGAACACAGTTCTACTCTTGACACACATGGGGTGGCCATGAGTTGGAATCAACTTGACAACAACTGGTTATTTCTGAGGGGCTCATGGTATCCAAGGAGGAAGAACTCTTGTTCATTTCTATCCCACTCAGCTCACTTAGAAGACCCAGACTCACTAGCTAGTATTTTCTGACAAAGTCAAGATTGTCTTGGCCCCAACCCCCTTCTCCCACCTGACCCAGGAATCTGGGCCTTGCTCCCATCCTAAAGCCCTCCCCAATAATAAAGAACACACAAGTCCTTCTTTAATGTTATATTGAGATTAAAAAAAGAAAACATTATGGATTTGGGAGTAGGGGAAGGGATGAGCCTCCTATGATTGACAGCAGGAGCTGATAGGGAACCAGAAGCTCTAGGGAATTAAAAAAAATAAAATATATATTTATACATTTATATATATCACGTCATGCAAGTGAGTCCCAGAGAAGCAGGAAGCAGCAGCAGGAATAACTAGAACACAGAAACACACGTGCGCACACACCACACACTCAAGCAATACGATTCTTCTGGCTATTGCGGCAGCAACTCCCTCCTCCCAAAAAAAAAAAAGAAATTGAAAAGAAATGTCCCTCTTAAAGAACAGGACCGCCCAGTAAATTTTGCCCTCATGACCAGAAAAAGAAAAAAAAATTAGGCTGATACTGCCTTTAAGGCCGGCAGTGGCCACTTTATTCTCCTTCCTGAAAAAGCAGGACAAGTTATTTTTAACACTGAGGCTTGAAGGCTGTATTGCTGGCCATCCCACCCCCCACCCCGCAAGTACTTCAAACACTTGTCTTCAAGACAATGTGGATCTTCACTTGGCTTCTTTTTTTCAGATCCTACAGACCATAGCATCCACCCCTCGCTCCCTATAAGATGGCCTCTAGGCAGTGGGTTTTTTGTAAGCCTAACAAAAATTCTGGAGCCAGGCCAGGGCCTAGGGACTGAAGGTCTCTGCTTAAAGCGTCTGCCCACTGGAAATTATTGACCTCCAGAGTTTTTTAACTTAAAAGGGAGGTGCACTGTATACCTTCCTCCACTGGGAGAAAGGGGGGTCCCATCCCTAGCTACCCACCCCCACCAAACACATATACACATCCACACTGACTAAGGCACGGCTAGGGCAGGCAGGCATGCTTTGGCAATGAGGCCCCTTGGGAGACCCAGGGCATGAATAGCTGCAATGAGGGGTGGTGGGGTGCGTGAGCTCAGCACCTTTGGAGGTGGGGAGGGAAGAAAGAAGTCTCAGGGCTCCCAAGGAAACAGGAAGGAGGAAGATGGGAAGGGGAACTCGGAAGAAGGAAGATGGGAGGAGGAAACAGGGAGAGAAATCCAAAGAAGGAAGATGGCAGGAGGAACAGGAGGAAGAAAACTGGGAACAGAAAACAGGAAGAAAATCGAAAGAGGAAACAGGAAGGAGAAAGATGGGAAGATGTGGGTGGGAAATAGGCAGATGAGAAAACAAACAGGAAAAGCAGGAGAACAGACAAAAAGAAGAAAAAGGAGTGAGAAGAAAAGAGAAATGGCTCAGAACAAAATAGATGTGGGCAACAAAACAAAACAGAGAAAACAGAACAGGAAGAAAGAGGAGAAAAGGAAGCAAAGAAATGGAAGAGAGCAAGATGAACGAGAGAGGCAGTGACGAGGGTTAGGAGAAAGGCGAGACAGGAGGTGGAAACTAGAAAAAAAGAAGAAGCCATAAGAACTAAGTCAGGAAAACCCAGGAAGGTGTAAAGAACAACAAGGTTGGCGAGAGGGGAAATGAGAGCCCTTTAGACCCTGACAAAGACTAGGCGGGCGGAGTACACCAGGTCGGCCACATAGGCCAGCAGGTTGATGGCTGTCAAGATGGCGACGGCCAGCCGGCGGTCCCAGGAACAGATGTAGTAGCTGTGCGACTTACTGCAAGTCACATCCCAGGACCTCCGGGGATAGCCGCCGTAGCGCTCGTCGAATTGGTAGAGGGGCCAGATGACAAGGGCAGTGGCATAGAAGAGGACAGAGAGCAAGGCCAGCCCTGAGAGAAAGGTGGGGAAGGAGATGGGCAGCACATTGGTGCAGTCGCCCAGGTTCAGTAGGATGGCCACGGCTGCCAGGATGAAGCAGATGGCGTACACAGCCACACACCACTCCAGCGCCGCCTTGTGCTGGTACAGACTGGTGTTAGTGAGGAAGGTGAAGATGACACAAGCCACGAAGGTCTCTAGGACCTTCAGCAGCCCTGGCACAGTGGCCATGTATCCCGTGATCTCACCAGGCCGGGCCCGGGTCCAGGCCACTTCAGTGGCATAAGCCACGAAAGCTATACAGGAGAAGGCGGTGGCGGCGATGGCATGGTCCCGGACGCGGCCGTGGGGCTGGAACTGGACGTAGGTGGTGGGGTAGATGATGGAAGTGGAGAGGCAGAAGAGGGCGGCGTAGCAGGCGTAGGTGATGGGGAAGTTGCGCCAGGACAAGGGGAATCGGGGCTGGAGCCCGCAGACCTCAACGATGAGAATGATCAGGGTCACCGCAAAGCAGAAGCACCAGGTGAACATAGACCAGTCACCCATGGGCCCTGTCCAGGCATTCACGCTGGCCACCAGAGAGAAGGCGACGCAGGTGGACAGCAGCTGCAGCAGACGGAGGAGTCCCAAGGGCTGAGTCAATGCCCGAGGGGACCCCACAATGGTGGGGGAACCCAGGCCCGAGGATGACGACGTGGTGGTCGTGATGGTCGTGCGGGTCACCGTCACTGGCATGGCTGGGAAGGGGAAAGCATGTATATTCTATATTTGCTTTTACTTTAGCATTTTATTAATTCTATAGATTCTCAATTTGTAGAAACTTATTGTTAAAACAAGGAACTCTGGTGGCACAATGGTTAAGTGCTCAGCTGCTAACCAAAAGGTTGGTGGTTTGAACCCACCCATCGGTACTGTGGAAGAAATGCCTGACAAACTGCTTACGTTAATATTACAGCCTTGAAAACCCTACAGAGCAGCTCTATAGGCAGTCCCCAGATTACGAACGAGATCTGTTCCTAAGTCTGTCTTTAAGTCGAGTTTGTAGGTAAGTCGAAACAGGAACAGGTATATACAATTCTTATTTAGTGTCAGTCAAATGTTTGTTTTAGTATGTAGTACACATTTTACCTTTCAATGCACATAAAACACTTAAGAAACACTTCCAAATATACTAAAACATCTTAAACATAGTAATACAGTACATAATAATAATGCAGTAATAATAAAAGTAACTACATACAGTACTGTACTGAAGACAGAGAAAGAATCTGTGTGTGTGTGTATATGTGTAGGTATATAGTACTGTAAAACAAAGTAAACAGTTCTTAAAACAGTTTAGATAGAAAAAAAAGAAAAAAGATCATGATTAAAGGTTAACACTGTCATTCCATACATGTCCTGCATACAGAAAGGAGCATTCGTGAGGTAACCTTATGGTAACAATGTTAACATTAATAATTGGGTGATGCAGAAGATGTGTGTGTTTGTTATTATCAGCCATTGTATTTAACTCAAATAGGCTTTATGGCAGACTATTCTTAAATACCAGTTGTCCAATAAATCGGATGTTCTTAACCCAGGGACTCACTGTACTCTGTAACACACGGGGTCAACATGAGTCAGAATCTACTTAACGGCAACTAACAACAGAACACACTAAATGACTCTCTGAGCCAAAGCATCCTTCCCTGCTGTTATGTATTGAACTGTGTCCCCTAAAAATACATGTCGTAAATCCTAACCCCTATACCTGTGGTTTAAGGAGACCTGGTGGCACAACAGTTAAGCACTAGGCTGCTAACCAAAAGGTCGGTAGTTCGAACCCACCAATGGCTCCACAAGAGAAAAGACCTGGTGATCTGCTCCCATAAAGATTACAGCCTTGGAAACCCTATGGGCCAGTTCTACTCTGCCCTATAGGATTGCTAAGAGTAGGAATCGACTTGATAGTACCCAATAACAACATACCTGTGGTTACAATCCCATTTGGGAATAGGTTTTCTTTGTTATGTTCATGAGGAAGTATTAGTGTAGGGTGTGTCTTAAATCAATCCCTTTGACATATAAAAGCAGATTAAACAAGCAAGCAAGGAAGCAGATGGGGGAAGGTAGATACCAGGCCCCATGAAGATCACTAAGGAACCAAGGAGCACATGCTAAAAAGAGACAAGGACCTTTCCCAGAGCTGAGAGAAAAAGCTTTCCCCTAGAGCCAGCACCCTGAATTTGGACTTCTAGCCTCCTAAACTGTGAGAAAATACATTTCTGTTTGTTAAAACCACTCACTTGTGGTATTTCTGTTATAGGAGTCCTGGATAACTAAGACACCTCTGGTGGCTCTGCCTCCCTCCTCTCCCCCTCCCCCCCCCAAAAAAAACCACCATCTCTCAACTTCCTCCCTTTGAATACTCAGGATTCTGCACCCAGCCCCTCTGCCCAACTTCCTTCTTTCACCCAAAAGGCCTAGACATTTCCAGCCTCCACAAACCCAGTAGTCCAACCTCCACTTTCTAACTTTCTCAGGGACCCACAGCTGATGGGAATGCCTAACCTCTCAATCTATCTGTGCTCATAGAGCAGGTTTCTGCTCTCAGCTCCTGGAAGACCAGGAGATCCCCCTCCTTCTGGGCGGTGGAGACCATTCCAACTCACGGCGACCCCACATGTGTCAAAGTAGAACTGTGCTCCATAGGATTTGCAATGGCTGATTTTCCAGAAGCAGATCGCCAAGCCTTTCTTCTAAGGCACCTCTGGGTGGATGCAAACCCCCAACCTTTCACTTAGTAGCCGAGCATTCAACCATTTGTGCCACCCAGAGACTCCTAACTCCCACCAGGTGGAGTATTTTAACCCAAAGGAAGCAGAGCTTTCTCCTCCCTGTCTCCCATACCCTGGACATTGAGTCCACCACCCCTCAGAAACCCAGCCAGCTGGTTCCCCAGCTTCTAGGAAACTCAGCTCCCAAAATTCCTGACAGTCCCGTGCCCCAGCCCCTTCCACTGAACACTCTAGGCCCCCAGTGTCCAGTTATCCAGCTTTAGACCTCAGGACTCTGGGCCCTCAGCCTTGAGCATCCCAAATGTCTCATACTCTGTGAACGAACTTCATTCTTGTGTCCCTCAAGACCCTCAGCAATCCAGTAGTCAGACTCTTGGGAATCAGGCCCCCAGATCCTTTCTCAGGCCCTAAAATGTCTAACCTCTCAGCTGACACTCCCAAAAGACTCAGGAGGACTCTCTTGGCCACAGGGAAATAAAATTTCCTCCTTCCAGAGCCAAGCTCACAGGTGTGAAATAGCACAGGCTTTAACCCCTTCAGGGCCCAGCTCAGGATAAGCTTCTTCCTTAGTTTCCAAAATGTCTGGGCCCCTCTCCCTTGGAACCCAGGCTCCCAAGTCCTTCTCTTTCAGGATCTAAGAAGCCTGACCCCCAGTCCCTCCTCCCTCAGACCCAGGAGTCCAGGTCCCCAGACCTCCTCCCTCAGGCCAGGAGTCCTGACTTCCAGCCCCTCCTCCTTCGGATCCAGGAGTCCAGGCCCCCGATCTCCTCCCTCAGACCAGGAGTCCAGGTTCCCAGACCCCCCCACCCCCACCCCCTCATAGTCCACTCACCAGCGATCTCAGCTCAGGACCCAGACAGGGAAAAATCTGGCTGTGCAGGCGGATTAAGTCAGACACCTGGAAAAAGCTGGTCAGAAGACAGGAGGGGGAAAGAAGACTTCAGCGTCCAGTGTAGCTTGGACTCCGCCCTCCAGAGACCGAGGCGGCTCAGCTGGTGCGTGGCTCTCGGCTAGGGCAGGAACTTGGCCACAAGCCCTCAAGGGATTCAGAAGGTGACTTCCGGGACCCCTGCCACGCCCCTCTCCCCCTCCAACGGCAAAAATGTCGTGGGCGGCATTTAGAGAACAAGGTGCAAGGGCGCGCCCCGCAGGCCAGCGCGGGGGCGCTCGGGGACTTAACCCAGCGGAGACCCGGGAGCTGCGTGGCTGGCTGGAGGGCGGAAGGGCCCGGGGCGGTGGCTGCGGAGGCGGGCAGCCGGCCAGCCCCGAAGTCTCCGCGCCTTATAAGGGCCTCCAAGCTGTAGGCCCAGCCATCTGGAATGTGGTGGGGACCCGGAGGCGGCTCCGGGATCCTTTCCCCGCCCCGGCCTCCGGGATTGCTCGCTCCTCTCCTGGATTTCTGGAGAGTGGGAACCCTGATGACTCCCAAGTCCCAGAAAGAGGACTGGGAACCTGAATTTCTAGGTCCTTAAAAGTGTAAGTTTTGGGTCCCCTCTATTAATATGGATGGGCAGGAACCTGGGTGGTGCAAACATTTGCTAATCCAAAGGCTGGCGATTTGAGTCCACTCAGCTGCACCGCAGAAGAAAGGCCTGGTGATATGCGTCGGTAGAAGATTGTTGTTAGGTGCCAGTCAAGTCGTTTTTCGACTCATAGCGACCCCATGTGACAGAGTAGAACTGCCCCATGGGGTTTTCTAGGCTGTAATCTTTAAGGGAGCAGATTTCCAGGCCTTTCTCCCTCGAAGTGGCTGGGTGGATTCAAACCACCCGCCTTTTGGTTAGCAGTTGAGCACTTAACCGTTGCCGCCACCAGGGCTCCTGGCTAAAAGATTACAGCCATTGAAAACCCTGTGGAGCACAGTTCTACTCACACGTGGGTTCTCCATGAACAAGAATCGATTGGACAGCAACTAACGGCAACATAGGGGTGGGCTCTTGCATCTCTAAAAGAATAGTGGGTTGACAACCCGGACTCCTGGGTTCTCCTTGTCCCCACCCCTCACCTCCCTCCAGGCCGAAAACTGCTCACGCTGTTGGAATGAAGCCCTGGGGTAAGTAGCCACGCTTCACCGCCTCTCCTGGCTGGAAAGCAGGCTGGGCCTCCGGGACACCTGGGAGGTGCCACAAGGGAGTCAGGCACCTCCTCCTCCCCCACCCCTTTCAGAACCTGTTAGGAGGAAGTTGGAAGAGGAAGGGGCATAGCTCATTCACTGTCGGTGGAAGGTGGGTTAGCAGGGGGACCCCTGGCTCATACCCGCGGAGGGGAGGGGTCCATTCCCGCCCTCACGGCCTCCAGCTGAGGTCAGAGCTTTGGAACGCACAGGCGGAGAGGGAGAGGAAACACGCCGCCTTCAGGCGTCCTCGCACGAGCCACACCCAGAGCCTTTACTTTCTCCCCATCACTACACCCGGATCGCTCACAAGACTCAGAACCCGGCCTCGACACCCCAGCCGCTGCTCTCTCTACTTCTCTCGCCCGGGAGTGCTGGGCTCTACCTCGTCCTCTCTGGGCTTCAGGATATGACCACCTTCCCAGCTCCATCTTCACCTTAAGATCTCAGGCCTCGGCCTTTCTTAGGGAGTCTAAAGTTCGGATTCTGCTCCCTGGATGGGGAGGACGTCAGTAATTCTGAACCCCAGTCACTCTCTTACCCAAACCCAGGACACCCCACCCCAAGCTCCTCCCCACTTGAGGACCCAGGCATTCCAGATTCCAATCCCCTTCAACCTGGGACCTAGGAGTCCCAATCCCTCTATTCCCCCAGACCCAGGAGTCCAGGCTTCCAGCCCAGTCCTCTCTCAGACCTAGGAGTCCGAGCCCCCAGCCCCTTCCTCCTTCAGACCCAAAGTCCGGGCCCTCAGCCTCTCCTCCATCAGACCCAGCAATGCAGGTCTCCATTTCCTCCCCCCCCCTTTCAAACGCAGGAGGTCTAGGTCCCCAGCCCTCTCCTCTCTTAGAACCCAGGAGTCCCAGCCCAGCCCGTGTCTTTCCAGGGACCCAGGCGTTCTGAATCCCAGCTCACTCCTCCTTCTGGACCCAGACGTTCCCGGACCGCTACTCTACCCTCTGGGATCCCCGCAGCCTCACCTCGCGGGCAGTGGCGGTTGCGGCCGGAGACAAGAGGGCGACAGCTGCAGATTAGAAGGGGCTGCAGGCCGGGTGGGGTTGGCCGGCTGGGGAGCGCGCGGGTGGGGCCGTGGGCGGGGCTGCAGCCTCAACTTAGAAGCCCAGGCAAGGGACTTCCCCGAGCCAGGGCTATCCCCGCTCCGCCCTTTGAGGGCGGGGCCTGCACCGGGCCTCGCCCACCCGTCTGTAACTACCGCTGATCTCCCGCCCTCCCCACCAGCAATGAGGGTGGAGGGCTGAGGTCACCGTTGCCAGGGTGACAAAACAGCAAGACACAGCAGCTGGCGGAGTGGGGGCTCCTGTGGGTTGCCCTTCCTGACACAGCCTTGGAGAAGTCTCCAGCAGAGGCCCCGGAAGGCCGTTGCCATAGCAACCCGCCTGTATAGGGTTTGTTTAGGACCAAGCCTCCAGCCAAGGCCCAAGCCCCCCTCAATTATTTCTCTCCCTCCTTGTCCCCTCGTCTGCGCCGGCCCTGCTAGACGAGGATGACCGACACGTTGGACACCTGGGTCTCAGCTAGGTGGGGGACCGCAATCCTCAGTTTTACGGGGTTTGCGGGCTAACTGTAGTTGTCTTCTGTCTCTGAAAGAGGAGAGAGTTGAGGGTGCTGATCCCTGGGTTTTAAGGGGTTGACTGGAGAGGGGACAGAATTCCTAGGCCCCAGAGGGTAGGAGTTGGTGGCACGGACTCCTGGTTTCCACATAGTGCCTAGGATGGAGGCCCAGATTCCTGGCCCCCAAGAGCAAGAGAAGCTGGCGGCTCAGATCCTGGGTTTTGAGAGATGTGATTGCAATCCAAGCCTCCCGGGTCTGGGATAGAGAGATATTTTTGGCCTGCATCCCTGGCTTCTGGATCGAGGGAGGGGATCGGGGCCTAGAACCCTTAATGAGGACGGGGCTGGGGGTTGGGGGCTCTTGCAAGAAAGGAGAGGACCCCAATGGGAACAGATGCCGGCGCCCCAGAGCAGAGGGGGTGGTGGCTCAGGGCTGGGCTGCGGGGATGCTGTTTTTAGGGGCGACTCTGCAACGCACTGGTGGGGCGCAGAAGAAAGAGGAAGCTTATGATTGGGACGCCGGGCCCCGGGCAGAAAGGGACGGGAAACCAGGACGCCTGGGTCGTTCCTCCTGGCCGCGCTACTCACCGCTCTCTGCAGTCGCCGGGGGCGCGGCCTCGCTGGCGCTGCCTCGGGGCGGGGCCTGGTGGCGGCTGCGGACGCTGGGCGACGCTGAGCTAACCGGACGATGTCCCTCCTCTGCCTTTGGGCTCCTTCCAGGCCGACAACTGAGGAGGCTTTGAGGGGGAGCCACAGGGTAGAAGCCGCGTGAGTCGCCAAGGGAGGGGTCCGAGGGGGCCGGTTTACCCGGCGACGTTCCCTTCGGAGATGGGAGGAACTGTGTGCTCTGCACAAGGTGGGGGAGGGAGGGAAGGAAGGAGGTAGATTCTGTATGCTCCCTTATGTGTCCCTGCAAAGAGGGGAGAGATCCCTGGGTGGTGAAAACGGTTTGCATGCCACTACTAACCTAAAGGTTGGCGATTCAAACCCACCCAGCAGTGCTGCGCAAAAAAGGCCTGTGGATTTGCTTCCAAAAGATTATAGCTAAGAAAACCCTATCGAGCAGTTCTACTCTGTAACATGGGGTCGCCATGAGTTAGAATCAACTCAAGGCAACTAACAACAACTAACCTAAAGACTGGCACTTGGAACCCATCCAGCGGTGCCACAGAAGAAAGGCCTGGTGATCTGCTTTCCTAAAGATTACAGCCAAGAAATTCCTATATAGCGAAGTTTCTGTAAAGATTACGGTCAAGAAAACCCTACAGAGTCTGTGGGGACCATGGTCTTGGGAACATCTAGCTCAATTGGCATAACATAGTTTATAAAGAAAATGTTCTACATTCTACTTTAGTGAGTAGCGTCTAGGGTCTTAAAAGGTTGTGAGTGCACAATGGAATACTACACAACGATAAATTCATGAAACATCTCATAACGTGGAGGAATCTGGAAGGTATTATGCTGAGTGAGTCGCAAAGGACAAATATTGTATAAGACCACTATTATAAAAACCCAAGAAAAGATTTAAACACAGAAGACAACATTCTTTGATGGTTACGAGGGTGGGGAGGGAGGGAGGGGGTATTCACTAATTAGAAAGTAGAAAAGAATTATCTTAGGTGAAGGGAAGGACAACACACACTACAGGGGAAGTCAGCACAACTGGACTAAACCAAAACTAAGAAATTTCCTGAATACAACCAAACACATCAAGGGACAGAGTAGCAAGGGTGGAGATCTGGGGACCATGCTTTCAGGGGACATCAAGGTCAATTGGCATAACACAGTTTCTTAAGAAAATGTTCTGCATCCCACTTTGGTGAGTGGCGTCTAGGGTCTTAAAAGCTAGTGAGCGGCCATCTACGATGCATCAATTGGTCCCAACTACTTGGAGTAAAGGAGAATGAAGAACACCAAAGACACAAGGAAAGTATTAGCCCAAGAGACAGAAAGGGCCGCATAAACCAGAGACTTCATCAGCCTGAGACCAGAAGAACTCGATGATGCCCGGCTACTACCAATGACAGCCCTGACAGGGAACACAACAGAGAGTCCCTGATGGAGCAGGAGAAAAGTGGGGTGCAGAACTCAAATTCTAGTAAAAAGACCAGACTTAATGGTTTAATTGAGACTGGAGGGACCCTGGAAGACATGACCCCCAGGCTCTCTGTTAGCCCAAAACTAAAAACATTTCCGAGGCCAACTCTTCAGTCAAAGATTAGACTGGACTATGGGACATGAAATGATACTCGTGAACAGTGTGCTTCTTAGCTCAAGTAGATACATGAGATTAAATGAGCCGCTCTCGTCCGGAGGCAAAATGAGAAGGCAGAGAGGGTCAGGAGCTGGTTGAATGGACACGGGAAATCTGGGGTGGAAAGGAAAAGTGTGATGTCACAGTATAGGGAGAGCAAGCAGGGACACAAAATAATGTCTGTACAAATGTTTGCATGAGAGGCTAACTTGAATTGTAAACTTTCACTTAAAGCACAACAATAAAAAAAAAAAAAAAGAAAAGGGTGTGAGTGGCCATCTAAGATACTTCACTAGTCTCACCCCGTCTTGAGCAAGGGAGAATGAAGAAAACCAAAGATACAAGAAAAAGATTAGTCCAAAGGACTAGTGGACCAAAACCACCACAGCCTCCACCAGACTGAATCCAGCACAACTAGATGGTGCCCGGCTACCACCACCGACTGCTCTGACAGGGATTACAATAGAGAGTCCCGGACAGAGCTGGAAAAAAATGTAGAACAAAATTCTAACTCGAAAAAAAAAACACCGGACTTACTGGTCTGAAAGTGACTGGAGAAACCCCAAGAGTATGGCTGCCAGACACCCTTATGGCTCAATAATGAAATCACTCCTGAGGTTCACCCTTCAGCCAAAGACCAGACAGGCCCATAAAACAAAACAAGACTAAAGGGCCACACCAGCCCAGGGGCAAGGACGAGAAGGCAGGAGGGGACAGGAAAGCTGGTAATGCAGAACCCGAGGTCAAGAAGGGGAGAGTGTTGACATGTTGTGGGGTTGGCAACCAATGTCACAAAACAATATGTGCATTAATTGTTTAATGAGAAAGTAATTTGCTCTGTAAACCTTCATCTGAAGTACAATTTAAAAAAAAGAAACAAAACCCTATAGAGCGCTTCTGCTCTGTAACACATGGGGTTGCCATGAGTTGGAGTCAACTCGCCTGGCAATTAACATCAACCACCAGCCTCAAGGTTGGCAGTTGGAACCCACCCAGCAGTGCCATGGAATAATGGCCTGGCAATCTGTTCCTGAAAGATTGTTGTTGTTGGGTGCACTGGAGCCGATTCTGACTCACAGTGACCCCATGTGACAGAGTAGAACTGCCCCAAAGGGTTTCCTAGTCTGTAATCTTTATAAGTGCAGACCACCAGGTCTTTTCTTCCAGCCATGAAAACCCTACGGAGCAGTTCTACTCTGTCACACGCGAGGTTGCCATGAGTCAGAATGAACTCTTGGGCAATGAGTTTGGTTTTGCTTTTTAAAGGGGCAGACACTGATGCTCTCAGTCACTTTGTACCCTACATAGGTGGGTAGGAGTCTCAGTGTGCCCAGTACCAGGCCCTGTCTAAGGGGGATGGAGAGTCAGGATATGGTATTAGTTGGAGGGGCCCCAGGGACATCCCCAGGTTCTATTCACATGTTTCCTGGGCCCCCAGAGTAGCAGCATCTCTTCCCCTTCTCTCCCAAATCAATCACGTCAGTCAATACCATACTCTCTTTCTTTTCTTGACCTCACAGTACCACACCTGATACCCCAAATGGTCAAGGGGCAGTCTGTAATTGCCCAGCTTACTACAGTGAAACCTGTGAAAGCCAGTACTTGATAGCACTGCCTTGTATTTCCAGGTCTCTAAAGTTCTCCACCTTTAACAGGGTACAGTCTTGTCACTTTTCTATCCCTCTCTATTAATGGAAAATATTTGAATTTTCCTTCTCTGACAGGTTTCTGCCTTACACGGGTTGCAGCTTTCGAAGGTTTTAGTGTCCTGTAAATCTGAGAAGCTGGACTATATGAAGAAGAACATGGCGTCAGGACTGGAGGAAGACTCATTAACAACCTGCTATATGCAGATGATGCAACCTTGCTTGCTGAAAGTGAAGAGGACTTGAAGCACATACTGATGAAGAGGAAAGACTACAGCCTTCAGAATGGATTACACCTCAACATCAAGAAAACAAAAATCCTCACAACTGGACCAAGAAGCAACATCACGATAAATGGAGAAAAGATTGAAGTTATGAAGGATTTCGTTTTCTTGGATCCACAATCAACACCCACGGACGCAGCAGTCAAGAAATCAAACGATGTAGTGCATTGGGCAAATATGCTGCAAAAGACATCTTTCAAGTGTTAAAAAGCAAAGATGTCACTTTGAGGACTCAAGTTGCCTGACCCAAGCCATGATATTTTCTATCACCTCATATGCATGCAAAAGCTGGA